GGTCAGGAGAGGTCTGCCATGCCATGTGGATCTCCTCCGGGGCAGGCAGGGATCGAACTCATGAAGAAGTGGCTTAAGCTTCTTTGTTTTGTGCTTTAACCCACTGCGCCACCAGGGAGGGCCTCAATAGATAATTTTTAAAGAAAGATTTATTTATTCATGCATATAGAACTGGGCTACAGGCCAGCGGTGCAAGGGCGGTGAGAAGATTTACCAAAGAGTGGGGAGCAGAACAGGTAGATTGGTGAGGTACACTGCTGCGTAGTCTGCCGGGCCATGTGGATCACTGCCGGGTCCAGGGATCAGACTGGCACTGAAGTGGCTGCAGCTAGCTTGCAGTGTCATGCTCTTGCGCCACCAGGAAGGCCATATATATTTTTAATATATAAGATCATTCTGTTTGCAAATGATGATTGTTTTACTTTTTTTTTCTCAGTTTGGATGTCTTTTCTTTTTTCTCACATAATTGACCTACCTAGACGTTTCATTGTGATGGGTAATAGACATCATGAAAGCTAGCATTTTGTTACTATCTTAAAACATTTAACCTTTGGCCTTTATGTATGATGTTATCTGTGGAGTTTTTGTAGTTGCTGCTTTATCATGGTGAGAAATTGGTGTTTATTAAAATTTTTTTTAATTATGTGGTCAAAGGAATCAGTTATCTACATTAATGTTAAATGAGCTAGGATAAATTATTGTATTATTTTTGTGAAATTTTATTACTGAGATGAGATTTATATATATATATTTGTTTATAGAAAAATACAAATTTTAATGAGTTGTGGAGACATTCATAAATCTAGTTTTCTGTTAGATTTTTTTTTCCACATATTTTCCAAATAGCACCTAGAAAACTTACAATTAAGGTACTTAATTTGAGTAAATTATTTTCCCTTGTATTTCAGACAAAAAGATGCCTCGGAGAAAGAAAAAAGTTAAAGAAGCCTCTGATTCAGAGAACCTGGAGAAGAAGGATGCAGAAACTACCAGTTTGGCCAATATGAAGAAGAAACGTAAACTTGAGGATGCATTCATTGTGATATCTGATAGTGATGGAGAGGTTCGTATTCTGAAGTGTCTCAAGCTAGCTGTTCTTATCCATGATTATTTTTGTAACTAAATCTTAATGCCGGCTTGCTAGACTTTTCATTTTTAATCAGCTTCAATTGATTTATAAATGAAATTAAGAATTACTTAAAAGAAGGTAGTGATACTGTTTGGCTGAGGAATGGATTATAGTTTCTCAGTTTGGTAATGTATTAGCCCAATGTGATATTTTAAAACTCTATGAATATCTAACTATATTAATATACATACAGTTCACATATATAAACTATACTAATACTAATATAGTTAAATATGAACTGTATGAATAATCTAAATAAAATGTAAATATTAATTTTCTTGGTCTGGAAAGTGAGAAAAAGAGAATGTAAGTGCTCTTTAAAGTCTTTAAAGGCTTTAAATGTGTGGTAGTGACTAGCCACTAGCTTTTTTAACATAAATTAATTAAAAATTAAGTGAAACAGCATCCTCCCTGGTGGTGCAGTGCATTAAAGCACAGCACTAAGAAGCGAAAGCCATGTCAGCATGAGTTTGACCCCCCGCCCCCCATCTCAGGGCATGGCAGAATGGCAGACCTCTCCTGACCTGTCCAGTGCTCCCCTCAGCAGTGTACTTCATCAGTCTGCCTTTTCTGCTCCCCACTCTGTCTCTGGTGAATCCTCTCACCACCTTTGCACCTCTGACCTGTACCACAGTTCTATATGCATAAATAAATCTTTTAAAAAAAAATTAAGTGAAACAATACATTAATTCTATCCCCTGGATAGCCTGCCTTAACAAAAATACTCAGGCCCTTCCTGGTGGCGCAGCGGGTTAAAGCACAGCATTGAGGAGCTAAAGCCACTTTAGCATGAGTTATATTCCCGCCTACCCGGGAGGTGACCCGCATGGTGCAGCAGACCTCTCCTGACCCGCCTGCTGCTACCCTCAGCAATGTACTTTGTCAATCTGTCTGTTCTGCTCCCCACTCTGTCTGTGGTGAATCCTCTTACCACCCTGCACCTTTGGCCTGTACCTCAGCTCTGTGTGCAAAATAAATAAATCTTTAAAAAAAAAAAATACTCAGACACAGATATATTACAGAGTTATATATGGTTATGCTAAAAAATAAGACCAATTCAAAACTGCTTGAAAATAGAATAGTATAGGAAGGTACAAAATGAAGATATATACTTCAGTCAGTGGATATTTAAGGGAAGATAACTGTTTCTTTTCTAGAAAAGTTTTTGATGCATATAGCATAAGTGAAACTTTTTGAGTAAAGTATTCATGCCACACATACTATGTTGCTGTTTCACTTAATATTTCTTGGAACTCCTTCTGTAATAGCACATACAGAGCTAATTAAATTAAAAAAATTGCCAAATATGTCATACATATAGGAGAATTAATAAAAGTAAGTGCATAATTAAAAAATAATCTGAACACCTACATTCTCTTACAAGCACTCTTGACTTAGTAATAACCTTTCCCAGTTGTATCCTTTCCCACCCATCTAGAGGTTAACCTCTGTATTTGTTTTATCTTTCATACATCTGTTTGTATTTTTAAATAGTGTACATATATATTGAAAAATTGAGTCTCCATGATTACATACTTCTACTACAAACATTTTCCAATAATCTATGCTTTATCCAAAGGATTATCTTTATTATAGATTAAGATGTTTTCAAATGGGTTTGTTTTTTGGATTTTCTATTTTAGTCCATTGATCTTTCACATATTTTCAAAATAACTTGTTCTGTGTATTACCTTGAGTTTTTTAGGTAGGCATTTACATCTATTAATAATGGTCATTTTTCTCTTTCTAGTATTTATGCTTTTTTGACTATAGCTTCCAATAATATTGATTGATATTAGTGATAGAGCACATTTTTTATTTATTTTTATTATCTGAAAGAAATATCCTTTAATCGCTTATTATTAGTATTTTAGGAATGGATGTTTAATCAAATGCCTTTTCACTATTTAGCTAATATAATGGCATACTTTTTCTCCCTTAATTAGTTACCACTGTATGTGAATACATTTTGTAATCTAACACCTTTGCATTTCTGGAGTAAATTTTAATTGGACACTATGTATTGAATTTATCTTCTTAATTATACCTCTTAGGAGTTTTGCATGTGTAAAACTGGCTTTGGTTTTATATAATTACCTTTTGGGGGGGGTACAGAAAAAATCTGTTTTCATTGGATTTTAGTGTTAGATTTATGCTTTTCATCTTTTTATGTCTCCCTCCACAGTTCAATTTACCATTTTTAAGTTTTATTTTTATTTATTAATGCATGTAAGAACTGGGGTTTACGCCAGAGGTGGGGAGGGCAGGAAGAGGATTCACTGGAGACAGAATTGGGAGCAGAACAGGTGGATCTACTAAAATACACTGCTGAAGGGAGCAGTGGGTGAGACAGGAGTGGTCTGCTGAGCCATGTGGGTCATACCCCTGGCTGTGGTTAGCTTCATAGAGCTGCATTTTTAATCCCTTGGGCCACTAGGGAGGGTCCAGTGCTATGCTTTAACCTGTTGTGCCACCAGGGAGGGCCCCATTTTTAAACAGTGTTTGCTTTTTCTTCTCAGGTTTAGTCCCCATAGAATTTCCACCACCAGTTCATCCATACACCATCATCATAGTCTCCTGTGTTCTTCTTTCTGTCTTTCCAATTCCTTTTCCTCTCCCTCCCCTGCAGGATGTCTCTGGTTTATAATAACTGTTCGTTGTTGTTTTGTTTTTTATTGCTATTATTTTTCCCCCTGATGCCTTATTTTAGTTACCCTATGTTTCTCCTATAAGTGAAATCATCCAGTATTATTTTTTTTCTTCTGACTTATTTCCCTGAGCGTACTTCCTTCTGGCTCCATCTATGTTGCTGTGAATGGCATTAGTTTATCTTTCTTGATAGCTGAATAATGTTCCACTGTATTGTATATTCCACATCTTCTAGACCCAGTCATCTGTTTTTGGGCATTTGGGTTGTTTGAAGTTTTTACCTATTATAAATAGTGATGCAATAAATATAGGTATACAAATATTCTTTTCAACCAATGTTTTTGTGTCCTTTGGGTAGATCCCTAGGAGTGGTATTGGTGGGTCATATGGTAGCTCCATTTTTAGTAGACTGAGGAACCTCCATACTGCTTTTCATAGTGATTGGACTAGTTTGCATTCCCACCAGCAGTGTAGGCTCCTTTTTCATCACATCCTTGCCCGTATTTATTGTAGCTAGTTTTTCTGATATGTGCCATTTTTATTGGTGTAAGGTGGTTATCTCATTGTCATTTTGATTTGCATTTTCCTGATTATAAGGGACATTGAACTTTTTTAAGATTTATTTGTTTATGCATATAGAACTGGTGTATAGTCCAGAGGTGCAGTAGCAGTGAGAGGATTCACCAGAGACAGAGCGGGGAGCAGAACAGGCAGGTTGACAGAGTACAATGTTGAGGGGAACAGTGGGCGGGTCAGAAGAGGTCTGCCTTGCCAAGTGGGTTATCTCCCTGGCTAGGAATCGAATTTGTTAAGCAGCTGTGGCTAGCATCATTGTGCTGCGCTTTAACAACCATTGTGCCCCCAAGGAGGGCCAACCAATGGTGGAACATTTTCTCAAATGCCTCTTGGCCATTTGTGGTAGTCAGAACATAATCACCAACTACCTGATAGTTGGAAGGCAGGAGATCAAAAGATTAATCCTACCACATTTAAATTGCAAAAGTATTATCTGTTTTTTTTTTTGACATTTACTAGTCATAAAACTGGGCTACCAACTAATTTTCTTTTTCAGAATTTTATGTATTTATACATACAGAACTGGGGTACAGGCCAGAGCTGCTGGGGTGGGTGGCTGACAGGATTCATCAGAGATAAGAGTGGGGAGCAGAACAGGCAGAGTACTGCAATACACTGCTGAGGGGAGCAGCTAGCAGATCAGGAGAGGTCTGCCATGCCCCACTGGCCAGGGATCGAATTCATGTACAGTGATGCAATAGCTTCATAGTGCTATGCTTTAATCCATTGCACCACCCAGGAGGTCTCAGGATTTATTTATTTATGCATACAGAACTGTGGTACAGGCCAGAAGAGCGGGGGCGGTAAGAAGATTCACCAGAGGTAGAATGGGGAACAGAGCAGGCAGATTGATGAAGTACATACACCATTGAGGGGAGCAGTGGGCAAGGCAGGAGAGGCCTGCCATGCCATGTGTGTCACTTCCCAGGCGGGTTATTTAACTGGTGCTGAAGGGGCTGTAGATATTATTTGGTCACCAGGGAGAGCCCAGAGGTGTTTTTCGTTGTAGAATGTGAAGTAGTTAGCTCTCCCTGGTGGTACAAGGGCTTAGGACGCAGCACTGCAAGCTAGCCACATCTGCATCAGTGAGTGTTTTGTCCCAACTTCTGTGACTGCCGCAAGAAAGGAAGGCAGGAGGCAGAAAAGCTGAGCAAGCAGAGTTTATTGCTCTGGGACAGCAGTTGAGACGGAGCCCCTAGGGTGGGGTACACAGCTACTGCCAACTCAATAAGGGGGAAGGGTCTCTTATATAGATTCTAAGCTCAGATTCCAAAGGGGGTGACTCATCGCTGTGTCCTTGATGTAAGGCCCAGTTCGTTATCACCTTCATCTAGTCCCATCCCGACAAGAACCCGTTAATTAGATGCAAGGCCCAATTTATTACCACCTTATCACCTTTGGATGCAAGGCCTGATTTATTATTGCCCTTATCCAGTCCCTCAGTAAATCTCCGCATTTGGTCACTCCCGACAATGAGAGTTCGATCCCTGGCCCTGGAGGTAATCCACATGGCACGACCATGATCTGCCTGCTGCTCTCCTCAACAGTATACTTCGTTGGTCTGCCTGTTCTGCTCCCCATTCTGTCTCTGGTTAAGCTTCTCACTACCCCTACACTTCTGGCCTGTATGCATAAATAAATCTGTATGCATCTGTACCCCAGTTCTGTATGCATAAATAAATCTCAAAAAATAAAAAAAAGAATGTGAAGCAGTTGGTAGAGTCACTTTAAGAAGACATTTTTTTTGGTCCCATGTGTTGAAAATTAAATGTATTATTTAGTATTTCTTCTGCTTTTTGAACATTAACTGTAAGGCTAACTCCAAATTCTTTTTATTTTTTTAAAAAAAGATTTATTTATTTATGCATACAGAACTGGGGTACAGGCCAGAGGTGAGGGGGGGGGGTGACAGGATTCATCAGAGACAGAATGGAGAGCAGAACAGGCAGATGGACTAAAATACACTGCTAAGGGATGCAGGGGTGGAACAGGAGAGATCTGCTATGCCATGTGGGTCACCTCCCTGGCCAGGAGTTGAACTTGTGAATGGAATGGCTGCATAGTGCTGTGTCTAACCCCTTGTGCCACCAGGGAGGCCCCACCTCAAAATATGTTTTAAATATCAACATTTATGCCACTAAAAATTAAAAATTTGTAACAGTTTATTTCACACAAAAACCATTACAACTGATCAGATTTATACTTCAAAAGTAAAAAAAAAAAATGGATTACTAGAAAAATGTAATGAAATGACAGAATATGAGCCTATATCTCCACTGTTAGATATGTCATAAGATTTAATTATAAGATTTAATTAAATATAATTTTACAAATTGAACATTACTGTCCATGCTGCATTGAGCAAATCTGTTGGCACTATTTTTCTTGCCATTATATACTCATTTACTTTTTAGCAATAAAGTCTTTTTTTTTTAAAGATTTATTTATTTATTCATACAGAACTGGGGTACAGGTCAGAGATGCGGAGGGTGAGAGGGTTCACCAGGGACAGAGTGGGGAGCAGAACAGTCATATTGATGCAGTACACTGCTGAGGGGAGCAGCAGGCGGGTCAGGAGAGGTCTGCCACGCCATGTGGATCTCCTCCGTGGCAGGTGGGGATGGAACTCATGCAGAAGTGGCTTAAGCAGCTTAGTGCAGTGCTTTAACCTGCTGCGCCACCAGGGAGGGCCCACAATAAAGTCTTTTTAAGGAGCTCTCTTACATTGCTGGTGGGAATGCAAACTGGTCCAACCATTATGGAAAGCTGTATGGAGGTTCCTCAAACTATTAAAAATGTAGCTTTCATATATCCAGCATTTCCACTTGGACTCTACATAAAGGACATAAAAATTCAATTTAAAAGGATACCTGCCCCCTGTGTTTATTGCAGCAACATTTACAATATCATATCAAGAAGATATATTGTAAATACACAATGGAATACTATTCAGCAATCAAAATAGATAAATGTATATGCTATTTGCAGCAACATGGATGGAGTGGAAGGGATTATACTTGGTGAAATAAGCCAGAAGGAGTAAGAAAGATATCAGATGGTATCACTTACAAGAGGAATGTAGAGGAACCAGAAAAAAATGTACCAGAAAAAAATATTGTAACAAATTAAAAAAACAAAATTAACAGGTAACTATTAATCACAGACACTGTGATGTGGAGGGAGGGATGTCAAACCAGGAGAGGGAATGTGTTCTGACACAAGGGACTATGGTGAATTGTGCGCAGGTGAATTGGTGGTGGAAGTTCTGTGGGGACTGCACCTGAGAAAATAAAGCAAGCATTGTACAAAACTGAGCAATGATGTGAAATATACATATATATATATATAATTAAAAAAATAAAGTCTTTAAAGTATATAGCCTTTTAGAAGTTACTGCACATTTAACAAACTTCAGTATAGCATATACATAATTTTTATATGTACTGGGAAAACAAAAATATTTGTGTGTGATACTTTATTGTGGTAGTCTGCAACTTAACCTTTAATACCTCATTTATGTGCCTGTAATAATTTGATATTTGTATATATAGTGAAATAATTACCAAAATAGGTCTAGTTAACAATCATCATACATGTAACTACTTTGTGAACTTTTATGATGTAGTGGCATTTTGGCATTTTTCAAATATGTAATACAACAATAAGTGTAGTCATTGAGAAGGGATGCATTTTATTTCACCATTTTAAAGAAAGTCTGTATATATATTTTTATTATTTACATCATTTTTCATTTTTGTACAGTGCATACTTTCTCATCTCAGTTACATGGTCCCTGTGAAATTCCCACCACTAATTCACCTGTGTGCCATCACCATGGTCCATTTTGCTCTTCCCACCCCTGTTTTGATCCTGTTCCCTTCTCCCTCACTGCAGAATGTCTCTGGCTTATAGTTTCCTGTTGATTTTGATATTTACTTTATTATAATTACTTTTCTTTTCCCCTCATCCCTTATTTTGATCCTTTACATTCCTCCTAAGAGTGAAACCATCCAGTATTTTTCTTTTTCTTTCTGGCTTACTTCACTGAGCATGATCCTTTTCAGTGCCATCTATGTTCTGCAAAGGGCATGAGTTTATATTTTTTGGTTACTGAGTAATATTCCTTTGTACCACATCTTCTTGGTCCAGTCATTTTTTTTTGGCATTTGGATTGTTTCCATAGCTAACCAATTGTAAATTGTGCTACAGTAAACATAGGGGTGCAGGTGTCCTTTGGACACAATATCTGGGGGTAGAATTGCTAGATCATATGGAAGTTCCATTTTTAGCAGTTTGAGGAACCGCCAAACTGTTTTCCATAGTGGTTGGGCCATTTTCATTTCTACGGTGTAGGAAAATTCCTTTTTCTCTACATCCTCGTTAATATTTGTTGTTGCTAGTTTTTTTAATATTTGCCATTTTCATTGGTGTGAGATGGTATCTCATTATGGTTTTGATTGCATTTCTAAAAGGGAAGATTTTTAAAAAATAATATAATAGTTTATTTTTACATCGTTTTGTGCCTTTTCCCATTTCAGTTGTAATCCCCGTGGGCTTCCCATCACCAAATCACCTGTGTGCCATCACCATAGTCCACTGCATTCTCACCTCCCCCCACCTTTTTGATCCCATTCCCCACTTCACCCCCATAAAATGCCTCTGTTAAGTAGTTGTTCATTATTATTATTTTCTCCCCTGGCTCTTTATACTCCCGCTATGAGCGAAACCATCCAGTATTTTTCCTTTTCTTTTTGGCTTATTTCACTAAGCATGATCTTTTCCAGCTCCATCCATGTTGCTGCAAAAGACATGTGTTTATTTTTTTGTTTTGGTTGCTGAGTAATATTCCATTGTGCATATGTACCACATCTTTTTAATTCAGTCATCTACTTTTGGGCATTTGGGTTGATTCTACGTCTTCCCTATTGTAAATAGAGCAGCAGTAAATATGGGGGTGCAGGTGTCCTTTTGAATTAGTTTTTTTGTGTCCTTTGGGTAGATAACCGAGGAGTGGATTGCTGAGTCACATGGAAGCTCCATTTTTAGTTTGAGGAACCTCCAAACCACTATTTCCATAGTGGTTGTACTAGTTTGCATTCCCACCAGCAGTGCAGGAGAGTTCCTTTTTCTCCCCATCTTGCCAATATTTGTTGTTGCTAGTTGTTTTAAGATGTGCTATTCTCACTGGGGTGAGGAGGTATCTCATTGTGGTTTTAATTCGCATCTCCCAAAAGGGAATATTTTTAAAGCAGTTCAGTAAGATTGTAGTGTTTAATATTTCAGTTAAAATGAACTGTAATATATTTCAAAATTCATCTTTGATGCATATGCTTATGAGTCCCTTGTACATGTTTTTCTGTGAAGTGTTTCATCATTTACTGATAGGAGAAGGTTATATTGATTTGTAAAGGCTCCTTATATTTGAAGAAAATTAATCTCTTAGCTCCTATGTTGAATACTTTCTTTCAATTGTTCTGTTAAGTACAAATTTTAAAATAAATAAGCAGAGTATAAACATTTATATTGAGTTTTAAACCTTAAATCAAGTTTTCTCTGAACTTGTTTTGCATATGGGCCAGTGTTTACATGAATGTACCTATGGCAGGTAATGAGTTTTATTTGTTCACGTCTATATTTTCCTTTTTTACTGAAACACATTTTTCTACTGTTTTGTGTAGGCATTTACAACAATCATTGATACTTTAGAGGCTCACCTCTGTTAGCTCTAAAGGAGTCAGAAAGACTGTTACCTTTAGGGCCCTCCCTGGTGGTGCCATAGGTTAAAGCACAGCAGTATAAAGCTATTGCAGCCCTACAGCACAAGTTTGATCCTGGGCAGGGAGGTGACCCACATGGTGTGGCAGACCTCTCCTGACCCCACCTGCTGTTCCCCTCAGGAGTGTATTTCAGTGGATCCACCTGTTCTGCTTCCCACTCTGTCACTGGTGAATCCTCTCACACCTCCCTCCCCCCCCAATCCCTGTATACGTAAATAAATCAGTCTTTAAAAAAAAGACTTACCTTTAGTGGTAACCACACTGATTATATTTCTTATTTTGTAACAGGAACCAAAGGAGGAGAATGGATTGCAGAAAATGAAGACAAAACAGTCAAATAGAGCAAAGTGTTTGGCTAAAAGAAAAATTGCACGTATGTTTTAATTTTTGTGTTGAAAATTGTTTGGAAATTCTAATAGTCACAGAATTGACACTAGTTTTTCATTAGGAAGCAGTTTCTGTGAATAAGGCAACATACGTGTTTTCTGTGTATTTTGCATTTCATTAAAATTTTTATGAGTCACTTAGAATACTAACTAGAAGTAGAATGTTGAAATTAAAAATATTACCTCAGAGTCTAGGTGTGCTTGGATTTATTTGGATGTAAATATAAGTTGTTTTGTGATTCCTCTGGGAACCAAGCCTTCTGTGTATAAAGCAGATGTAAAGCTTACTGCTGCATCATGGAACTTGAAGATAGCTTACTAAATTTGAATCCTTATTTCAGTTCTTAGTGTATGACCCTTATGCTTATTAAGTCACTGTTCTCAGCCTCCCTCTGTTTCATCATCAGTAAAATTAAGATAATGATACTTAGGAAGTCTCATAATAGCAGGTCAAAAAAACTACCTGTTCCTATTTTTTGTCATTAAATTGTAAGGGGTGTTTTAAAACTAGACAAACTAGTGTGGTTGAAAGGGGCATGTAAAACTACAAATGTGTGGATCTCCCTTCCTCCCCCCACCAAGGAATTCTCCAGCAGACACTGGTTGGTTGTGGTTGTTAACGTGATTTAATTCATTTCTGACACTTTCCACCTGGACACAGTATCAAATTCCACAGTAAAGGGCTTGATTCTATAGAACTACCCTCAGTTTAGATGTCAGTTGCAAGTCCAGATTGTTACATATGTGTTTCTGATCAGCTACCTATAAATCAAATTACCACTATTCCCTCCTTTACTTTGATTAATTTGCTAGGATGGCTCACAGAGCTCAGGGATAGTTTACTTACTAAATGACTGGTTTATTATAAAGGATGTAACTCAGAAATAGCCACATGAAAGAGATGCTTAGGGCAAAGCCATGGGGGAAGGAGTGTGGACCTTCTATGCTCTCTCCAGGTGTTCTCCCAGTATCTTGATGTGTTTACCAGTCTAGGAGAGCTCCAAATCTGGCTTCATTGTGTAGCTCTATTGATGAAATTACGGTCTTTTGTGATTGCTTTACCCTCTATTGAGCTCCTTTCTCATCCAGAAGATAGGGTGTGGGGTGTGGTTGAAAGTTCTAATCCTCTAGTTAACCTGGTTGGTTTCCTCTGTCAGCCAGTCCCCATCCTTTGGGGTGAATTCAAAGGACGTCATTAACATAAATTCCAATGTGATTGAAAGGCTTAATAGGTTTGTCTTCTATGTTTACATCTTAGTGTAATCATTGATGTGATTCAAAACTGACCATTTTGAAAGTTCTCTATTATTTTAACTGTTCTTTTTTTTTCTGCCCTTTTTTGTATTTGTTGAGTTTTATTTTGTGATTCTTATTTTGTTTCTTCTATTGACTTACAAGATAATTTATCTTTTTTAAAAGATAGTGTTTACCCTTGAGTTTACAATCATCTTCAAATACTTTTATATTGTTTTACATGTAGTATGAAGACCTCAGTAGTATATTCCCAATTCTTTTATGCCCTCCTTTGTTATTTTTGCTGTTCATTTTACTTTTGTATGTCACAAACATAAAACATTGATAATATTTTGCTTTCGATAATTGTCTTTTAGAATGGTGAAAAAAATTCCATACTTACGCTTTTTCAAAGGCTGTTTATTTCTGTGTGTATCTCCTAGTTTCTTTCAGTATCATGCTCTTTCTACTAAAAGAAATCGCCTCTTGGCAGTTACCTAATTTTATCTGAGAAGATTGTTATTTGGAGATCATTCTTTTTATGGTAATGTTTTATTGGGATATAATTCATATATCATACATTTCATTCACTTAAACTGTACAATGGTTTTTAGTATTTTAGTAACCATAATAACCATGGTCTAATTCTAGAATATTTTCATCAGCCCAGAAAGAAACCCCATATTCTTTTTTTTTTTTCTTAAGATTTCTTTATGCATACAGAACTGGGGTATAGGCCAGAGGTGCAGGGACAGTGAGAGGGTTCGCTAGAGACAGAGTGGGGAGAACAGGCCTACTGACAAAGTCACTGACACTGCTGAGGGGAGCTTCTGGCGGGTCAGGAGAGGTCTGCCACACCATGTGGATAACCTCTGGGGCAGGAATCAAACTCATGCTTCTTAGTGCTGTGCTTTAACCCGCTGTGCCAGCAGGTAGGGCCCAAAACCCCATATTCTTAACTAGTCACCCAAAGCTCCCTTCATCCTGCCTAGCTCTAACTAACAACCTACTTGTTATTCTGATATTTCATATAAATGCAGTTTATATCAACAGAAGACAATATGTTGACTATTATGTTGACTTCTGTGCTTTCACTTAATTAGCATATTTTCAGGCTCATTCATATTTTGGCATATATCAGTACTTTGTTCCTTTATTGCCAAGTAATATTCCATTATATGATGTTACTATATTTTGTTTATGCCTTCATCATTTGGTGGGCATTTAGATTGTTTCTACTTTGGCTCTTATGACTAAAGCTGCTTTGAACATTCATATAAATTTTTTTTTAATAATCAGTTTTTAAAAAGATTTATTTATACCTATTGAACTGGGGTACAGCCCAGAGGTGTAGGGGTGATGAGAGGGTTCACCAGAAACAGTGGGGAGCAGAACAGGCTGATTGATGAAGTACACTGCTGAGGGGAGCAGGGGCGAGGCAGGAGAGGTTTGCTGTGCTACATATACAAGTTTTTGTGTGAGTGTTTTATTTTCTATTGGGTATTTCCCTAGGAATGGGATTCCTGTGTTAAAGTGTAACTCAATATCTAATTGAGAAATTGCCACATGGTTTTCTACAGTGGCTGCATTATTTTATGTTTCTACCAGCAAGTCTATGAAGGTTTAAATTTCTTTATATCTTTGTCAACACTTGTTATTTGCCTTTTTAAACATTATGGCCATCTTAATGGTGTAAAGTGGTAGTTCATTTGTAAGGTGATTATGGTGATGGCACACAGATGATTTGGTGATGGGAAGCCCATGGGATTACCTTTTTAAACATTTGCCTTTTTAAACATTATGGCCATCTTAATGGTGTAAAGTGGTAGTTCATTTGTAAGGTGATTATGGTGATGCCACACAGATGATTTGGTGATGGGAAGCCCATGGGGATTACAACTGAGATGGAAAAGGTACAAAATGATTAAAGTGTAAAGTGATTTTGATTTGCATTTCTCTAATGCCTGTAATAATAAGCAGTTTCTCACATGGTGTTGGTCACTTGTATATTTTCTTTGAAGTTAAGTCACTTTTGCTCAATTGTTCTTTTTTTTTTTTAGAATTCAGCAGGTGTGTTGAAATGCATATTTATTGAAATACACTGTGGAGTTATTGAAATACACTGTGGAGTAAAATTGTCTCATGCTCAATAGTTTTTTTTTTTGTGGTAAAATACACATAAAATATACCACTTGAACCTTTTTAAATGTTTATCATGAAGGGGTGCTGAATTTTAACAGAGGCTTTTTCTGTGTTTATTGAAATAATTATGTGGGGTTTGTCTTCTGTTGACTTGGTGTATTAAATGATTTTCTTTTTTTATTACTTTATTTTTTCATCATTCATTTTGTGCCTTTTTCCATCTTGTTTGTAATCCCTTTGGACATCCTACCACCAGTTCACCCGTGTGCCATCACTATAGTTCCAGTCACATCTTTCCCACCCCACTCCCCACTCCACCGCTGCAAAATATCTCTGGTATATATTTGTTCATTGTTTTTTGTTTTTTCTTTATTACAATTGCTTCCCCCACCCCCTTGGTCCCTTATACTCCTGCTATGAGTGAAACCATCTGGTATTTTTCTTTTTCTTTCTGGCTTATTTCACTAAGCATGATCCATTCCAGCTCCATCCATGTTGCCACAAATGAGTTTATTTTTTATTCTTATTTTTTTACAAGATTCATTTATTTATTCATACAGAACTGGGATACAGGCCAGAGATGCAAAGGGTGAGAGGATTCAACACGGACAGAGTGGGGAGCAGAGCAGGCAGACCGACGAAGTACACTGCTGAGGGGAGCAGTGGGCCGGCCAGGAAGAGTCTGCCGCGCCATGTGGATCCGAGGCAGGCCGGGATTGAACTCATGCGGAAGTGGCTTAAGCTTCTTAGTGCTGTGCTTTAACCCGCTGCACCACCAGGGAGGGCCCGAGTTTATTTATTTTTTAATTGTTGAGTTTATAATTTTTTAATATGTCATTGTGTAGATGTACCACATCTTTTTTTTTAAATAATAGTTTATTTTTACATCATTTTGTCCCTTTTCCATCTCAGTTGTAATCCGTGTGGGCTTCCCATCACCAAATCATCCGTGTGGCATCACCATAATCCAGTGCACTCCCCCCCCCATTTTTGACTGTTCCCCACTCTACCCCTGTAAAATGTCTCTGGCATATAGTTGTTCATTATTATTATTATTATTTTCTCCCCTGGCCCTTTATACTCCTGCTATGAGTGAAACCATCCGGTATTTTTCCTTTTCTTTCTAGCTTATATCACTAAGCATGATCTTTTCTGGCTCCATCCATGTTGCTGCAAAAGACATGTGTTTATTTTTTTTGGTTGCTGAGTAATACTCCATTTTGTATATGTACCACATCTTTTTTTTTTTTT